AAAAATGTATCAAGTCTGGTGGCCAGGTAGCACGATACAAGCACCCAGAGGATAGGACCAGAATATTATTGTATGAGGTTTTTAGCACCACTGACAACATGGATATATTAGTCGCAGTAGTGACTCTAGCCTCAAATTATTTAATGTGACAATTCTTCATGATTGGTGGAAATGTTAACTCACTTTCTTTAGCTAGATCATTGAGTTCTTCATCATGGTTAACTTGACTCTCCACTTTTTCCTGTTCTTCTATGGTTTCTTCTTCATCAAATACTGTTTGAAAAAAATTCAAAAACCATCTCATGAATTCATTATTTCAAAGATTATGCTCATACAAGCATCCCAAAATCATGCACAACTTCTATGCCACAGATTTGTCTAGATCACACAGAATTCACACGAGTAACATGACAGTTTTGACATTTCAAATCTTATAACGCTAGAGCAGTAAGAGGTTGCACATTTGCACAAAATTTGGCTTCCTCGCGTTATAAAAAAAATTGGTAGTCATTATGGAACAACTATACATTTACACAGACAAAAAACATTTAGTAGATACACTGGCACAAGGTGTCAAAACTATCTACAGTACGAAGCAAGCGCCTCCCGATGGCTAATACAGCCGATGTGTATAAAATTATGAATGAAAGAAGTACATACCTTGATCATCACCCTCTCCATCAGAAGGTACAAATTCTTCATCATTCTTTTCTTCATCCTAAAGAAATACAGATTTACTTGTTGTATTCAATGATATTCTGATTTTACCAGCCCCAGACCTGCCAGATTGACTGATTAGAGTCTCAAGTGATGCAGAAGTTTCAAAGCGCATTTTTTCTTGTTCCAAGACTTTTGATGTCGATATAAACTTGCTTCAAAGTTAAAAGAAATTGTGGTTGAGAAAGAAAGTCAACCACTCCTGTTGTCACGAATAGATGGCACTACACTGACTAAGAATTTCAATTATGTTGCTATATTAAGTGTTGAATTATTTTTAACACACAGGTCACCAAAAATTACTGCTATATGATGTAGAGATGCACTGTGTTAAATACATTATGAGTGAAAGCTTTTTTTGCCAACAAAATATACACCCACCTTTTCATCAATTTCGTCATCACTACCCTTGATACTAGCAGGTTTTTCCAGTATTTCAGGCGGCAGAGTATTAATCAGTTCTTCAATGGGAACTTCACTTTCTTCTTGCAACATCCTGATTTCATGACTTTTATCTTCGTTTTCATCTTGCTGTTCCTCTACATCAATGGTTTCCTCATCATCAGTCTCTTCATGTGCAGGTTCAAAATCTGCATCTGTTAGGGAAGGGTTGAATGATATTTAAATGATCATGATAAACTTTTGTTTATAGATCTGAAATTGCTGCAATAGTTAGAATGCTCTAGTATTCTGTCTAAGACTCAAAAGCGAGACATTGCCTTTCTCTTGAAAAAAAAATGTTGGTTAATTGACGCACGTAAAATGTTTCATGGCATCAGCTAACACCAACAATTTGTAGGTGATGTGATGCAGCAATCTTTAACTCTGCAGAAAACTGTACATTCCCTGGTGTATTTGGTTAGTCATTTTACAAATAACAGACCCATGGTCTTACCATCTACGCCAAAATCGCTGACAGATCTTGATGGACTTGTACCAACAGAACCGGGCACTGAAGATCCTTGAAGTGAACCCTGAGTAAGACCTTCAGTGAGCCATGAAGAATATTTCTCAGTCTGACCAACTATAAAATTAAGATGTAGATCCAGAGCTTTCCGCCTCTTCTCTTCTAGCCTCGACTGTTGTTTATATTGCACGACCTACACACAAGAGAATTATCAAGTTGAGTATTACAACTTTTGAATATTTTTTAATTACATTTGTTCTGACCACAGCAAAGTTCAAATGTTTACTGTAAACACTAATTGTAGCATGAATTCAGTAGAGCAACAATTACAATACATTTGCTCCCCTGTTTGTACCTGCAATCGCTGTGCTAGTTCCATTTTAATTTTACCACGGTTGCAAGTAGAATGTTTCAGATGCTGTATTACATTTGAACATGGTTTTGAGTGATTTAAATTAATTTACATGTGTCAGAATTATGTTTGAAATGAAGTTGGTGTGATGTGAAACATGATGAGCATTAGAAAAATTTCAACCATAGTTACTTTTTCAATATTTGACCAGAATTGTCTAACTTCTTTAGCAATAGTACTTGCTATTCTCTTCAACTTCTGCCCTTCTTCTCGTTCAGCTCTGTCTTCCTTCAATTTTTTCTCCTGGAAAAATTTCACAACTGCTCGAGCCACCTGCAAAACAACATTCAGGGTAATAAACACCGTTTGAGAAATATGTACATAAATGAAATTTAACCTGAAATTCAAAAGAAACAAATTCACCTTTTTACAACCAGCCTTTTTCCATTTTCTTTCTTGTAAGAAATCACCAGCTAACCACTGCATTTCTTCTAGCAAGAAATCCCAATGTGTCTTGCACCTCGGTGGTTCTTGTACTCTTGGTAATCTCCGTGCTGACCATAGACCTTCTTTCCTAAGCTGGGCTATTCTCTGCATTACCTGTGCTTCCTACAGACGAAACAAATATTCTATAATCTTAACATAAAACAGACAAGATAATACTGTACTGTTTTGTACACAACTTTGCAGTAGTTCAGTATTATTACGGTACTACTATACATATTGCCTACTTGTACTACTAGCAAAAGGCAACAGCTCCCTATTTTATCAGAAACCAATTTAGTTATGATTATTTGTGTTTGGTAACAGTATCTATTTCATTGCATTCTATATTATTGCAGAGTCAGATATAAACAAAAGAAGGTTTTCCATATGACACATTTTTCAGAGAAGATATAAAAATTGTAACAGATGCCTTAAAGCATTAATGGCAGGGATTGCGTTAATTCTATATTTTGCTTCCCGGACTCTATTGAAGAGGGACCCAGTTTTTCAGGCAAGTTGGGATCCAATCTCTAATAAAGTTATTTAGGGTCAAATTTCAATTTCTTAAAATTTTGTAAGTGGGACTAGTCTTGCCGAGACACTAGCGCAAACCCTGAATTGTATTTGTTATCACCACCAGATTTATGATTATACATCCTCTATCAGTATACAGTATTTGCTCTATTGAAGCACATATCCACACAAAAACGCCTTTGATTTCGCACACATTACTAATAGAAAGAATACAATATCTTCAAAGTTACAGCAACAAACATCTAATATACAAGTAGAGGAAATTGTAAATAATACCATTTTGATATTATTGCTTCAAAAAATAATTTTGAAAGAAATATCTAACAAATATACATACCTGCTTTGCTCGTTCCACAATCTCTTCTTGTGACCCAATGGTATAGTCGTATACAGCCGAGATTGAGTGCTGCCTTGTAAGAAATCTCTGGTGTGAAGTGGGAGAAAGTGGAGACTTGGGCATCTTAGCAAGAGAAAGCGCAGTTGGAGACACCCCAGGCATGCTGGATGGTGCAGTTGATACCATTAAAGGTGTATTGACACTGGTGGTTGTTGCAGTTGCAGCACTTGCTGCAGCAACAGTTGTGGTTGTAGTTGCTGTAGGAACAGATGAAGTCAAAGCTTCTGTCAGTGGCGGAGCCGATACAGCCGTTGCTGGTGGTTCTACAAAAAACAAAGGATATAAGGATTCTTAATTTCAATTTTAGTATTTGGAAATGAGTGCCTAATATCAACATGGCTGAGAAGTGCATACTCATAATTACCGAGCCATATGATAGAAGGCAGGGGCTAGACATGCTAAGGGTGGTCCTGTAGCCTCAGACAAGTAAAATGGCTATTCAAACAACTGAGAAGAAACTTGCTTGCTTTAACTGACTTACCATGCAAGTTTAAATATCAAGTCCTTTAAGAGTTTAAGACTTACCTGTCAGTGCTTTGACCAACTGTTGCATTGGTGGTTGTTGGTGGTGGTAGTTTGAAGATACAGTTGAGACCGTAGCACCAACCGAGACTTGAGGTGATGGCGGCGGTGCATGAAGTGGGGCAGAATTTTGCACTGGAAGACCTACCAACTGACCAGCAATGGGAGGCGTCTGTGGAACTTGTGCCACTGCTGTAAACAAAGTAAAGTCCAAAGATATAAAACATTCAACTTGTTCACATACAATAACGACCCTGAACAACTTGGATGGTGTTAGAATCCACAAACATGTGTCATCACTGTGGCAGCAATTCAAATCACTGAACTGGAAATCAGTTAGAAAATGCTGAAGCACAGGTTCAAAGCTTTGTCCCTGATGGTTAGAACCGAGAAAAACTTTTTTTTCAAGACAAGAAGAAGCACTAACTACAATGTAACACTGAATTGCACTTACATGGTATTGGTGATACCATGCCTGGCTGAAGGGTTACATTTGGCTGAGGACCAGTCGGAAAAACTAGACCACCCTGTGCCTTGTTGGCATCCAAAGCTGAATGAAGAAAGACGACAGGAAAATTACTTTGATGGATGGAGATAATAAGTAGTTATGTCATAAAATGAAGTATGTTGTTAATAATCTTTGAGTGGAGGATAAGGTCACACTGCAGTGGAAAATGAAATGACTAGATATTATATACTAGAATATATAAACAAATCATAAAAACACAAAGTTGTAATGATATACAAGAAATACAAGAAACCGTTAGTTGTTATCAAACCCACACAAAGTGATACTGGCATCACTAGGAAAATTACAAATGATGGAGAATTCTCTACATGATTAATGTGGTACATAAATATATAACGTGCAAGATGGTAGAATGATGTGGCAAACAAGTACACAAAAAGACTGTGACTGAGTGTTACTATAGACTACAATGAAGTTATTCCAAGTTGTGTATATATATATAAATATATAAACATGCATTGAAAGAAAAGAAATAAAGCCTCCCTCATCAATTTATCTTTTTCTTAAAGGACCTAACAGAAAAACAAACCATACCTGAACCAAGTGACAACAAAAATAAAACTACCACAGAATCACAACTATGAATTTGACATTCGTGGTGCTTATGGCATGCTGCAAGACTGCTTTTCCACCAACATATATCGGATAGATCGATTCAATTGACTGTGCAGCTACCAAAGGCCACGTAAAGAACTAGAATACCTGACTGAATAAATGCATGTCTCCTCAAAGCCTCAAAGTCAATTTGACTGTAGGTACTTGTAGTAACTATTGGCAAGACTAGTGGCATACCGGCTTGAAATTGGGCTTGCTGCTGCTGTTGCTGATGCTCCAACTGCTGTGATAATGCAGACGCTGCTGGTGGTAGCTGTGTAGAGATTGCAACAGGAGTACATACTGGGATATTACTACCTACATTTGTTATGACTTTGACCTGTTTAAGACAGAGAAGAGAACAATGATGGTTTTGAAAACCATTAGTATATGAATTGTAACAGCCTTATTGCTCATGTTAGAATCGGAGATATAGCAGAACGTTTTATAATAACATTTTATAAAACACATTTAAATATACAAGACAACATTCTGAGATTGAGTGATTTTAAAAATAATTTGGCATTTTACTAATGATTTCACTTAGTCTACGATACACTACACATTCATTAAAAAAAAACAGCTGCCAGTCAGCCATTATGAATTTGATCTGAAAAACAAAATGTACATCAGATCAGAATCGGATCATGAAATGAATGGATTACATATGTGACCTAAGATGTGCGTGGAAAATTTTAACGTGATCGTTCAAAGCATGTCAAAAAAAAAATGGTCTGGACAGGTTGGTGGACACGCATACTGATCAATCAAAAAGTTCCATTTTTCAAACAGTGTCCAAACATGGACTAATGAAAACATAAGTGTATGGTTCCAATAACGTGCACTTCAAAAATCAGATTTTGATTCATTATTTTGTGCTAGTTTGCAGATTACTTAACAAAACTTGTTTTAAGTTCATATTGTTTTAATTTTGATTTGTTTAATGATACCAAAAATGAAGTCTTCCCAATTTAGCTAACATCCTGAATGATAAGTTCAGTTTCATTAAAATGTTTGGCTGAAAAGTTTTAGCAATAAATTTTTT